GGCTGTACAATTCTTCGAAGCATACATTCACAAACATTACGTGTTCACTACATAATTAGCACTACAAACGTTACACATACCACACTGGCTGTACAATTCTTCGAAGCATACATTCACAAGCAATACGTGTTCACTACATAATTAGCACTACAAACTTTACACATACCATACTGGCTGTACAATGTTTGTTTAGTTTCAATTCCCGTAAGAGCAGAAACATGGAACTTAGGTCACAATGCAGGTCAAGCGATATAACACCCCTTGAAGTCAATGATCTCGACCTCACATGACAGCTGAGCAAGTGATGAAGAGATCCATGGCGTTCTTTAATGTACCGGTCATAGTATGACACTAACGCACCGTTCAAATGAAAAAAAAAAAAGGATCCCTGACCAAGGCGCAGTTTCCTACAAAAAGAAATTAAAATTGTTTTGATAGTTTGTCTCTGCCATCACTGCTGAGCAGTGTTGAATAATCTGAAACGTCCAGAGAAGTGTGTTTAAAAGTGTCATCGATTGACCATTAGTCACTCTATACGAACACTTTATTCTGAAGAACTATTTTTCGTAAACCACGTCTGCGGAATTATAACGCTAAAATCCTGGTTTTGATCCCTGTGTCGGGCACAGTACGGATAACTCACCGTGTAGCTTTCGGTTTAACAACAAACAAACAAAATTCAGTGTTAGCTGTAAGCCGATGCTAGTCTCGTTAGGTTAAAAAAGAAAATAAGTTTTGTTTTTTTAATCAATAAAAGATGGTCACGATATTTTATTTTACTCTGTTGTTTAAGGCACAAGTAATCTTTGAAAATAAATGTTATATCTTGAATTCCAGTCAAAACTAATTAATTGGGCAACGCCTCAACAAACAAAAAAAACCTAATAAATTTATGTCATGACCTCGTTCTTGTCAGTTTAAGAATAATGTAACAGAAATAATTCGAAACGCAGACGGCCAAATCGACGCTTTCCCGCGCAGGCGCTATGCTCAAACCAGCACGAGACAGGAAGAATCGATTAGCTCGGTTCCACAATGGTGTAGGGTGAGACGACTGCCGATATCAATTGTGCAGCTTTCAAATCATTCCTTCACAAGGACTGCATACACCATTTGCACAGTAGACTAAAAAAAAACTCCTCTTTCTGACGTTGTTGGAGCTTTACTTCACATGTGTGCCTAACCACAGAACGTTTCACACCCTAATTAAAATATTTCACTACACTTCTATGTATTTCCAGCTACGTATATATTTTTTACAGAATCTTCCTCTGTATTGGGTAGGCAGCATCAGCTTGTGTATGTGTATAAACCACGAAACATGTATGTGTGTGTACCTGTGTTTTCAACAGCTTTTTATCCTTTTTTTCCTGTTCAAACTTTTACGTTTTAGCTACAAACGATACAATAATACCGCATGAGTGCTCATGTGTACATAAGGTTATTAAAAATTTTTGAGCAGGTTTCATATAAAAGTGTTTGATATATAGAACTGTAGGGAAAAATGTATATATATAATTCTTGAGTAAGAACTGTCCGGTTTTAACCACATACAAGTCCTTCATAAATATCTAAATAAAAGTTCTGAATATCTTTGTGAATGGTTTTATTGTAAATTCAAATGTATGTTACTTTTCACCAAATTTGTATGAGTCATAATACAGAACATTAAACCTAGTTTGGTTTGTTTTGAATTTTGCGCAAAGCTACACGAGGGCTATGTGCGCTAGCCGTCCCTAATTTAGCAGTGAAAGACCAGAGGGCTAACTCTTGAGTTGCACTTTTACCGACGAATAGTGGGATTGATCGTTACATTATAAAGCCCCCACGGCTGAAAGGGCGAGCAGGGATTCGAACCCGCGACCCTCAAATTGCGAGTCAAGCGCCCTAAACACCTGGCCATGCCGGGCCTTAAACCTAGTTCCACATTTTAAAAAGACATGAAATACAATATTCTAAATCATAAAACAACCCAACAACTGATTTCTAGATATGATTTAATGAGATATCTTATATTACCTCTGTGACAGATTGTAAAATCTAGTCAATATCTGTTATCAACAGTGCAAATAGACAATGATAACTTATTCTAGTGAAATCCATCTGTAAACCTACTGTTTGTTTGTTTCCAATGTCCTAACTCTAGTGAATTGAATAATTTTTGTATTTATATTTTCAAAACGATTTTCTATACTTTCAGAATCCCAACACATATTAGAGAATCAGCCACACTAGATTACATTTGTGTGAAAGCGGATTTGCCAAAAAATTATAATTCAATTCTTATCCTGAGAAGCAATGAAACACTTATATGGAATTTCTATAAAACAGTCGACAGTGGTCTTTTGTTTTAAAAACATAAACACACTTGTATTAAGTTCAGGAAATGTTTATCTTTACGTCTGTCCTAAGTCGCGTTTCTGAGGTTTACAACTTCTAAACATAAAGTAGAAATAGCGTGCTTCATATTATTAAAAAAAGAAGAAGAACTTAAAGTGGCCCTCAAATGTGATTTGTTCCGAGACAAAAGTAAATATTTCCGCTACGAGTCACGTGGGTCGTAACAGGCCAATGGTTAGCAGACGTCTGTCGCTGTTTAAAAAACAAAACAGCACAACTCTGGAAAAAACAAGGATATTGTTGCTCAACAACTATTGACACTCTTTATTGTGCCCAAACATCAAAAGAGAGCTAGGATTATCTGAAAAGCTTTGACATCGCCGATTCGCAGTTGTTGAAATGCAAACATAAGTAAGTGGGTGTCTTTGTAATTAAATTCTCACATCAAAAAAGTTGAATTAACTAAGTGCTGTGTTTAACGTAATCAAGTCGAAATACATCAGGAAGATTTGTTTAATATATCTTAACTTTTGATAAACATAACATAAAATGTAAAAAAAAAAAAATGCTAAAAAACGTGTATGTATTACAAGGTAGTATGCAGGCATACTAAATGTTTTCTTCCCCCTTATTTAATATCAAGTTTTTCAAGTTATTTTGTATATGTAATTGAATGTAGTTTAACACAGAACACTAGTCAAGGAAGTAGCTAAGTTCCTATTGCCATAGTTACCTATTGTTCCAAGTCATTCACCTATGGTAACACGTGTACCTTCTCATGTAAAAGATTTCTATAAATAAAAGCATACTATGTGCAAGTAGACAGCAATCTTTTTCACTGGTGAGTCAGGTAACATCTTGAGGTTCCAACTACTGATTTTTCAATGTCAACGGTCAACAGTACACTGGGAAAGAATAAAATTGTTGTTTTGTGTATATGTTTTTTTTTTCATTATGAGGCAATTATTCAAATAGATTTATAGAAATTTACTTTTCCTTTCAGAGCTATCAATCCTCTAGTCGTCCTTCATCACACTTGTCTTTGATTTTGGGGAATAATAAGGATTGTTTTACAATTTTACACATTCCATGTAGTATATTTCTTTCACAACCCAGTCAAAGTAAAAAAAAATTCAGATTTACTTCAACGAAATATTTTCTGTTAGCCTCCTTTTATTCAGCAGAACTTATAAGATAACTTAGAAGAGAAATCAGTGCACATGGAAATACCAGAGTAGATAGAAAGGAGAAAATCTTGGTGTCATAACCACAGGATTTATTTTTTTCAGAGTTTTTTGTTGGCAACTCATTATTCTGCAGCCCAGGGGCAGGGACCTAGCACTTGTCTGAATGTAGGAGCAATTGAATATGCCTACCATCCTTACCCCAACATTTTGGACATCTCAGCCTGGTGTTGGCCGAGTTTGTGCTACTCCACAGGTCCCTGTTTGTCAAGTTGAGCAAATTTATCCCCTGACATTTAAGGATGCATATCCTTAAACATTTCAGACAAGTCAATGTCAGGAATGAATGAATTCAGGGTTATGCAGTGCAATGCCTGATGCTGAATATACATGATAAGGTGGAAGAAGCTAATATTATTGTCCAAAAGATGTCCAGTGGTGGAGCAGCATGACAGATCTGATAATTAGCTCAGATGCCAATTATGACCTTTTCTTGGCTGAGTTACCAACAGCTTGGATAGTCACCTGAGTGCAAGATCAATAATGAAATATAAAAAGCACTCCTTGCTTTCCAAGCTATCAAGTGGTGTTTAAAAGTAAAATGTATGTACTACATTGCAAGATTGTCATTTGATTATTAAATATAGGATGGTTTGTTTATTCAAAGATTACCTGGACAGAAAGGGCATTGTAACCCCTTGTAAACCATCAGTGAACTATTACTGAATTTTCATGAGAAGTATCTGCAGAAAATAAATCCACAAAGAGTAGCTCAAGTATTAATATATGTTGAATGTAAACCTAGAGTATCCAGTGTTTTATTTTGTAATGATTGAATATTTTCAATCATGTAGACTGAAATATTTTATAAGCATATTTTGCCAAATATTGTCTTAACATTTTTTTCAGTACAAGGTGCAGATAAAATGCATGAGAATGCAGACTGTGAGTGTACAGCCTGAGGCAGGAAGTAACACCTGCATGCTGCAGCTTTCATATCACACCTGACCTGTAATAATCTTGTACCTGAAGAGAGATTCATAGAAGTGATGTATTGATTTTAATTAATTCCTTAGATCAGAAGTTAGAAGTTGGCATTTATACAGTGGCTAACTCATGTATTTGTATGGGAGCCAGTATCTGCAGTATTCCCCTCTCTTTTTCTGTCTTACTGGACTTGGGTTCTATATAACAACCATACAATAGTAAAGGTAATGTGGCTTGGTTTCAGGGTAGCTGTGATAGTTGTTATAGTGGTCAAGCAGTTGTGGACAGTACAGCTGACTGATGGTCAAGCATAAAACCCAATCAAGCCTAGGAAACCATAATATCAATAGGTTCAAAGGATACATTTTATATAGGCAGTGTACACTTGATAATAAGCAAAGCCTTTAGAAATGTCACTCGACCACAGTAATAGTTTTCAAACTTAAACCCATGCTTCTAGCCAACTTCTGACAAACCAGAATTCACTTGACTTCAAATTTTAATCCTGACTTGATCTGGCTATTTTGTTCTAAGATCAGGTTCCATCAGTTATAACTATGACATTGATTACAAAATCTCTGGGATCTAGGTCATCTCCTCGGCTAATGTCAATGTGTGGGTCTCTACATCTTCTGTTGCAGATCCACCATCACCTAAGCAGTCCCCCACCAAGACTCAAAAGTCAAAGAAGCTGGAAATCTCAAGAACTCCCATTACAGCTATCACCAACCATCTCACACTTGCACAAATTCCTATCCTGGAGCAACACTGTCAAACTTAAGCCACAAAATGGGTGAAGGTTTGAGCACTCTATAATAGAGAAGAGATCAGCTGTTGAAACAGACATAACCACCATTACAGCTGGAATAGGAAGCCAAATGGCTTCGGGCAGAGCTAGCCTAGGCACGTAAAGTCCTAGTAAGTGCCATGAAGATCACCATTAGACTGCTGCAACCAGCAAAAAATCAACCACATACTTTGAATAACTGTATGTGTGTGTGTGTGTTGTAAATATTTGTAAAGAAAACTTAATTTTGACTTACATTTCATGTTCATAATTTGAACAAATGCATATTATAATATTTCTGAGAGTTTTTTGTTATGGGATTGTATTGTGTTTTTTTGCCCATTTCAGTTATTGTTCAATGGATTGTTTTGTGTCCGAGATATTTTGTTTAATGACTTTTGTAAAAGAGTTCACTTAAAATTAATTTTAACATTAATTTTTTTATTGAATACTAAAACAGGTTATTATGTATAATATTCATTTATTTGCATTGGAGGGTTTATCTTGAATTCTGGTAAGTGCTGCTTTTATGATGGGTTATTTTATTTTGTATTTTAATCAAACAACAAAGAGATTTGTAATTCTGATTTTAGTATATTCCTTTTTTATTAATTCAATTTGATATCAAAGACTTAATGTGTTCTTCTTGTGCTTGCCTTTAACGTAAAATTATTTAATTTGTATATTTTTAGTTCATTATGTTTTTTTATTTTATGTTGTGAATTATTTTTAAATGTCAAAAAAATGACTTAATGGGATTCTGAGTTTTATGTTGAAAAGTTATGTTCTTAGTCTTACTTGTTTGTGTTTCCCAATAAGTTTTACAGGAACGAGAGAAAGTTCCACTACTGTTTTGACCAGTGAATACTTGCTTTAATCAGGAAAAGGAAAGTAGTATGCAGGTATACTATGTGTTTTTTAACCAATTGTTTAACATAAGCATTTTCCAAAGTTTTCCTACATGTAATTATATGTAGTTGAACACAAAACATTGGTCAAAGAAGTAACAAAATTCATTTTGTCCCAGTTACCTATTGTCCTGGGTAACTTACCTAAGGTATCACATTTACATTCTCAAGGAAAAGATTTATGTAAAGAAAAACATTCTATATGCAAGCAGACAGCAATCTTTTCCATTTGAGGGCCACGTGATACCTTGAGGGTACAACTTCCTTATTTTATATTGGGAATGACCAAGAATGACGTAGGTAATGCATATGTCCTGGTAAATTACGGCATTATTGTATCGTGTACATGATGCTATTTTTTCCCAGTCTGGGAGAGTTCTTCCCAAAGATTTACTTGACTATCGAGAGTTCTCAAACATTAAAGGTGTCTGCCATCTTTCATGACACTCATTGTCTTAAATTGTTTGGTGAATAAATAAATAATGTTTTACATTTTAACACACTCTGTCCAATCTCTTTCTTTCACAACTCAATCAAAATCAGAATATTTCCAATATACGGACTGTATATATTAACCATACGTCGACGAATGTAAATATTCATAATATAAATGAAACATGGAAAATTAAAATAATTACCATGTTTAATGTATATTGTGAACACTTGCATTCGTCTAGTGCTAACGTATACATTATTTGTATTTATCTTCGTATTCTTTTCCAACATCAATATTGTAATTACTTTAACCATACCCATTATATTTTATTTGACACCTTTGTTTTGATTTTGTATAATTGACTGTCACCAGTGTAAACATTGTTATAGTTCTACACCATTATAAAAAGTAACTTTAAAGTCTAAATAAAGCTTGTAATAGTTTTTGGGTGCCAACCAGCTTAAGCAGAAAATTGCTCTCGCAGAACACCTCTTCAACAGATATTTGAAAAAAACATTAGTTTTTAGTTTCATGCAACCAGAACACACTAAATTTCTTTTGCAACTTTCTTTGAATTCATAAAATATTAAACTAATATTTGCAATGCAAGTTTCAGCAAACATGCAATTTCTAACTCTATTTGCCTTTACTTAGGAGTGTATTATTTTGATTATTATGAAAAATGATTGTCTCAAAAATTAGAACATAACACATATCATTAAATCTTGACTTCACAAAATGTTAATCACTGCATGAATATCAGGTTTATCATACAGTAATGTCAAACACTGCATTGACGAAAAAGTTTAAGAAGAGAATCAGACCTTACAAAATATTCCACTAGACACAGGATATTTCATTGGGCCCTCGGTGGCTCAATGATAAGTCTGGGTGCTTATAGCGCTAAAAATCTGGTTTCAATACACGTGCTAGGCAAGGCAAAGATAGCCAATTGTGTAGCTTTTGGCTTAACAACAAACTTCATTGAAAACTAATACTGAATTTGCCAGATACACATACCTTTAGTTGATTTTGAATATATTATTTGACAGATTCTGAAGCTTTTATTTGAACAAAAACTTTATTACGTTAGTGTTCAAAATTACTTGTGTATTTCTCCAGGTCGTAACCGGATAATCACACTCCAAACACGTTCTTCCAGTATTTTCAATAATTCCTTATTAATATACGGTTGGAAAATTAACTTTCTAAGACGTGCTTTTCACAAGTTTACTGACTTTGGTTTCCTTTGCATCTGAAATCAATGTTTTTTGGACTGGCTGTCATGTGGAAGTTTTATTAATATTCTTTGCACAGAATGGCTAGAGATATTCAGTCAAATATATGCTACTACTGAGGAAATGAGTCAATTAGAAATGACATCTGTTGCACTTTTCAAGTCTGCATAACCATCATTTCCTTTTGATTGGTCAGTAACGGTTGGTGATCACAATTATTCCTGGTGATGGATGCATTCCCTTTCGATTGTCACTGTTGGCATCCTGATAACAGTTATCTGTACACCTAATATCATACCACTTGGAAAGTCTGAGTGATCCTTCCTCTTGTAAACTAACAAGATGACTATATTTCCACTTGACACAATACGTGGGCGTTTACTCTTCATATGCAAATACATACAGCATTCTACAAATGTGGCCAGTCAATGCACATTGTATATATTGTTTTAGTTAATCTTCAGATTTAAACGTGGTAACTTAATTTTTATATCATCCTTAGTTCACATATGAAAAGAGTTGTTTTTCAAATCTCTGATTTTAGCCGGAAAACAGTATAACAGCGAAAGAGTTAAATTCTACTACAGTGTATCAGCACATAAGGCAAAAAAAGTTTTTTCATTTTGAGAGCGAAAAGATCATTTTAAAATTTAGGTGCAAAATGTTCTGGTATTTTCTTTGAACGTAAAGGAACAATTACAGTATATGTGAAATGAAAACAACAATAACTTGGACAGTGACACACTATGTTATTATAAATTGGAGAGATTTATAATAAAAGTACGAGTTTATTATACTAAGCTATACCTATTTAAAATAGGATTTGTCGCTAAGTTATTCTTCTGAGAAATAATTTTGGTGAATATTGTGAAGAAAAGCAAAATTTTAAACTAGTTTCGATCTCCGTTTCACATTTATGTCTAAACCAGATCACATTCAGTGTGGTTGTATTATGTATTTCTGATACAAATTGCTTTTATCGACGACTTTTAACGTAGTTACGTTCTTCTATTGCTCTGTATAAAACTGTACTGGTTTAAATAGTTCATTCCCGCTAAATAAAAAAAATATTCATGAATAATAACACAAAATTCCTTAGTAACTTAAACAGTACAATTATTCGAGCTGTGTATAAATCTTTAATATAAATATGTCTGTTTGTTTGAATTCATGCACAAAGCTACACAATGGGCTATCTGTGCTCTGCCCACCACGGGTTTCGAAACCCGGTTTCTAGCGTTGTAAGTCCGCAGACATACTGGGGGGGCAATATCAATATGAATCTAACAAATTTAAAATTTACTTTGTTATCCTGAAATATGTGATGAACTTATAACAGGGTTATTTCTATAGCTACATGTAAAAAAATTATAAAAATTAACTGTGAAACTAAAACGTGTTTTCTAGAATACGTTCACCACTACGTTTGTGGATTTTAAACATAAGAGTATGTTAATACATCAATCACAGTTACTTCCAACAAGATCGAGAATTATATTTCCAGTTTGAAAATGATTAAAAAATCTGAAAATAAAGTCGTCCCCTTTTTTTAAAGCTTCTTGAAAACTTAAAAACACCCAATCTAAAAGCAAGAAAAAAATAATACACGTGCCACGCTGTTAGTAGTTCTCAGAAGCTCTAGAGACACAAGTTATAATTATTGTTGTTTACACAATAGCTAGCAAGGACAGTCAGCTCTTTGTCGGTGCCACAACAGCGTATCCAGGATAATCACTTAACGACGGTTGCCATAGCGATAGACACGTATAGACACAGTATAAAATCCAATAAATATACAGGCTTGAATATATAGTGTGATGAACGGTGTTCAACTCCCATGGATCAAAGAAATCGGTCTTCACAATAAAGATTATTACTTCATATGAAAGCAAATACTTACCATTGAAAAATATTTTTAAAGAAAGGATACATGACGTATATAGCAGCAGTTGGATCACGATAACTACATTATTTTTGTATCATCATGATTAAGATAGGAATGAACCCATAAACTTCCCATCACCGTTGATAAGCAACACAATGGGATATCTGCGATCTGTCAAATGTGGGGAATCCGTAAACTAACTGCTGACCTATTGAGGGACAAGAGTGTAAGAAGAATGGCATGCCCTTCAAATAGCCTGCTCGTTTTTTCTGCTCGTGATGAGTGTAAAGAATTATTTAAAAACGTCTTTATGTAAGAACTTCAGTTGTATTTGATTTACATAATAATAATAAATTAATCTTCACGGATATGAAAAGAACGAATTTTATTTAACTTAATCAATATATATCGATTACGAACTACTACAGAGAACTGTACGCAAGCGTCAGTGGTTTACTTAACTCCCTTTCAACCAGTGTTAACCAAGAATTTAAACTAAAACACTTTAATAGTATGCCTACAAATACTACTCATAGTAAATGCGTGACTTTATTCACACTTTCTATTTTTCGTATTTTTCTAATGTATACACAAAATCAACGGATTTAATACGGCATTGAAACATGTGAACTCCGTCTAAATAAATAAAAGTTTGAACCTTTGTTTGTTTAAAAGTTAAATGAATTGTTTCGAAACAGGTAACTGGATTTTTATCATTCTATTAATCGAATGTGTACAAGCTAGATGCATCATTGGACCGACCTCGTACTGGAGAAGGAATACTGACTATAATTTCGAATTTGCTATGTGAATTTATACGACATATGGCAAGCTTTAAGTAGAATATAAAAGTTTGCTGTACCCAACAAATCAGATGAGTCACAGAGGTATATTTACACAAGATACATCTGTGAATTGACGACGTCGGTCTGACTCTGACAAGTCGGAGTGCAAAGTGATATTCGTGTGAAAAATAAAAATACTTTTGTTCATCGTACAATTTGCGCAACGAACTTGCATAACCTCTAGAACTTCCAAAATGTAAATCTACAGTTTTTCAGTGTCCTCGTGTATTGTATCTGATATATACTCTTTCTCAACCATAAACTGTCATTAAATCAGCAACACAGGGTAAAATAAATTGATTATAATTCTGAAATCAAATACATAACATAATGTTGAATAACCCTCTGTAAAAGATCGTCGCATGTGCACTTTAACCCCCACCCGTGCACATAGGATTAAAAAGCCAATAACTCAATTTAAAAAGTAAAATTATAGTCAGAGTTTAATTGGGGTCATAACTAACTTGATCCACGTGTAAAAATTTCCTGGAAAATTACTGTAGCCTAACCAGAGGGCCACGAGTATTTTAAATATGTTTGTCTACTTTCTAAAAGCAGACTATATATTTTTTCTTGGATATAATAGCAACTTGGTTTCAGGACCACCTGCTTCTGATACGCTTTTAGTCGTGACTTTCAGAAACTGATACGTGGCTAGTTGCATTCTACACAACGTGACAAGACTTCCCATTTAAAGTAAGAAACATGACAGATCAAATTAAGTAATTATTTTCATATCATCTGTAGATGTATACGAAGTACATTTATGGAAGATAAGGTCACATTGTCTGTCACGTTATAGGTAGACGCGTTTTCTTCCACTACCGAAATTTGAACTATGCCCAGTTTAAGAAATCGATCACAGTGTCTAGGAAGCTATTACACTGCTTTAAAGACCTGATTCAATTATTGGAATACTGTTTAACAAAACTCTCAAGAAAAACGCGTTTAATTGTTTGTACTCACTGGAGAACGAGGAATTTTAAGGAATCTGCTTTATATAAGCCTTATTGATGGGGTTATGTTCTAAGACATCTCATTGGTGTTTGTACAGATAAAAACTTCCTGGTTACATACTAAGCCTTAATAACACTAGTACAGAGAAAAACTTCATTGTTACATACTAGGCCTTAATAGCACTAGTACAGATAAAAACTTCCTGGTTACATACTAGGCCTTAATAACACCAGTATAGAGAAAAACTTCCTTGTTACATACTAGGCCTTAATAACACTGGTACAGATAAAAACATCCTGGTTACATGCTAGGCCTTAATAATCACTGGTACAGAGCAAAACTTCCTGGTTACGTACTAGGCCTTAATAACACTGGTACAGATAAAAACATCCTGGTTACATGCTAGGCCTTAATAATCACTGGTACAGAGCAAAACTTCCTGGTTATATACTAGACCTTAATAATCAATTCGTTTTCGATGTGTCAGCTATGTTATAATGATATTAATATGTTGTATTGTAACGTTCCAGAAAATGGGGACCAAAATAAACGAGACAAAAAATAACGACAGCGTTTTCATTTAAAATACAGTGCTCCAAGTCTCTTCCTTTTTGGTCAGAAAATGCCATTTTTATCTTCATACGGAGCCCTTCTGGAGGTACATGGTTATCTTAATTCCCAATATAGACCTGAAGAAGCTCTTAATTCTCGAGAAATAATTCTGTCATTTTTTCTTCTTTTAAAATATGACACATTCCACATATATTCAAGTACGGAGCCGGTAATTATTTATAAGTTTAAATTTCATAGGAGAAAGTTCAACATAAGTTTTAAAAAGGTCATGAGCACTGAACGCTAAAATTAGGATGATACACATACGCATATTAAATCATAATTTTTCCTCGTTTTTTGATGTAATAGTTCGTTTTTCTGACTTATTGTGATTAAATAGTCTTAAATGTTTATATGTAACAGAAAATCGCTCGAATATTATACTTTCAGTATAAATATACACACACTATCTTGTGTGCGAGTGGACTGGAACCGCTAGGTAACTACAATCTACTTGAATAATTTCCCTGGGTTCTAACGATCTTATATCCTTTTATTCTTTAAACTATACTAGTTTTTGTTATAGCTTCATATCAATAAATAAACATCACTAGCCATTTTCAACATTCAAACTAAGCGATCAACTACATTGTTGCATTTGATCTACAACATCACTGGCCGTTTTCAACATTCAACCTCAGCTATCATATGTGTTGCATGGTTAGTCCTAAAACGTAACTAAATTAAATAATAGGTTGAATAATCGCCACGTTTTTTATATATATATACATTTTTTTAAAAGATGATGTTTCGAGCTATCACTCTTCGTCAGATAGTACAGTTTACAACAAAGGCGCATGCGCAGAATTCAAAGAACTTGCGTGCGTAGTATTTTGAATGTTGAGCGTGAAAATTCTAAGCAAAATTACATCTATTACATAAAAATTACAAGTCATGAAAAGATAAAACAGATAGGAATTCAAATTTAAACAAAAAAAAAAAAGGAAAAATAGAAATCTACAGGAAAGAAAAGCGTTCTTTTAAACCAGCTGGTTGTAGGATCCCCAGATTGTCTTTCTCTAAAACGCAACTAGCAATTTTCAACATTAAAACTTACCTAACAACATTACTTTTCACATGAGGTGTATCCTGGTGATGCGAAAAAATTATCCTGTGGATATATTTTTGTCGTAATTATTATTTAGATACTGTTTCACATTAAATCTAATCTATATATATATATATATACGGTAAAGCCATACACTGGCAAAATTAACGACTTTAAATATTAAACCCTAATCAAATCAAGCTACCCGTTAATAAGTACTTAAATATGCTGTTCTTAAGTTATTATTTCTATTTTCATAATAAGTAAAATACATTGTTAAAACTATTTAGGTTTTATGAGATTGGGAATTCATGGTTATTTCTAAAATACATTGTTCTGAAATTTTGAAATCCATTTTGTCATTAAGTGAGAAAGTTCTTTTTTTTTCGCTTAATTATAGCACCAACAGCCTCATACTTCAACTACATTGTCTGTCTGATAGCTTCCGGCTACTACAACTATAATGTACAAGAGACGCTACACTCTTACGGTCAACATACGTACTAAACATGCTCCTCCGCATTCATGGAACCAGAACCAAGGAACCCTTCAAGCGGTGAAAGATGAAGAGAATTACGGCTAAATTTTCAAAGAAAATTACAGGAAATATCACCACGATTTCAAGTAAAATGCGGTGAGATGTAAAATTCGATGCCTAGTTGAGTAAAAAAAAACTACGTAAATAGCTTTTTCTTCAAAAATCGTCTATGGGAAGGCCCCGGTTACATAAAATAAAATTCTTAAGTTTGTGAAGCGCATACAAAATACTTTACGTTTTTAACGCAAAGAACCAGCTCATGGAAAATAAAAAAAGAAAGAAATAAACATAGGTTAAATTTACCCCATGGTTGCTAACAGTTTAGCGCTTACATGATCCATTCCTCATTCATACCAAAATTTATGCATATACATATAATAATGGAATTGCATTCAACATAAATTGTTGTCACAGTTTAAAAAAAATAGTTGTTTTGGAATATATGTTGTTATATACATGTATATATATATATATATATATATATATATATAACTAGGACTCGTAAGTTATACTGATATATTTTCATCTGAGTTGTTCACCATATTGGTTAGGCCTATCACGTTGTGTAATGAGAATATTATATGAAAGTTTGGTAAACGGTCAGGCTATAAACATAGTCTTCTAAAGAAAATGAAGATAATTAACTTGAGTAATGTGAACTTGGAAAACTTTTGAAATTAGTTGTCCAGCCAAAAAGTTCCTCCTTGTAAACGTTCATGAGTTACTATTCAGTTACTGTTTCTATTGAGGCCTAACTATTAGAATCTTTATCCCGTTTAAATGTAAAGTGAAACTATTTGAAAATTATTGTTTTATTCATTTGTTCTTTCCCACACTGTGCTGCCAACATAACACATGGTTAGTTGAAGCTCTATCACCAGTTTAATCTTTCGGATTTACACTGTATAGTGTTCTCCAAGTACATTTTTACATACAGAAACAAAAATAAATAGCATGTTTAGATCTTTAAATGATACCAGATTGGGATAATGTTTGATAAATCTCACAAAATATAAACCATATTAAATGTTTTTTCCTAGGTTATAACAACCTGATGTAGTACGATGATCACCAGTGTATTTTCATTGTTAATTATTGAAGTGACATTTGATTGAATGCTCACTTAAACTGTTGTGCGTGTTGCTCTTACATTTCACTGCAGTATAGTAGCTTAAAAATTGGAATACTTTGTGTTTAACTCATATATATATATATATATATATATATATATTAATTCACAAATACTGCATCTCGGAAGTTTATATTACTGCTCATTTTGCATTGCTGGCTGAAAGTTTCAAAGAACAGATGATGCCTATATTTGGAGGTTTTCTCTACACGGGTTCAACCCGCCCTATTCGTGGGCAAGAGTCCACTTTGCTAAGTCAACAGATGTTTTAATTATGCCTAACTATGCGAATTCTTATGTTTTTGTAAGTCATTTCTTTGAAATGTATTAAACGGTACTAAGTTGACGCCTTTCTTCTTCAACGTGCTTAAGTAAACATGTGGTATGGGACAGCTTCTGATTCGAACACAGGAACGGCTATAGATTTCAACAGAACTTACAACCAAATATTCATAACCAACAGCGAAATACTAGCGTTATCCACATGATAAACTTTAAACTGCCATTTCTAGTACAATTCATAAAGTGTTTTACAAGCGTTTCATTTTTATCCTACATAACCAGAGTGTGTTATGAAATTCATCTATTGCACCATCTTTCTTCCGAAAACCCTCTGGTAATGTGTAACTCTTAATAACTATTCGTATTATGGTAAAATAACAGACAAGCCTATAAAACTAAGTACCACTAGACTAAGGCCTAGGTTTATCATCTCCACTACCATATGTTGACCTTTTGTTACTAAGTTCGCACTACATTAAGGGAGTGTTAAAAATGACTATTTTTACCTACAGTTTTTAATAATCTATATACATTTTATAGTTTTGTCTGTTGTATTTCCATATAACTACATCGCAGGGTGTGGATAGATCTTCACCAAAATTTGTATGGAGGTTCAATAGGTCCATGCGGGGGTACATACAAATTTTCAGTTGTGCGTTTTGCGGTTTTTATGGGCATTTTTTACCACTACCTGGCGCCCTGTATATGGATCTTCACCAAATTTGGTATGGAGGTTCATTGAGTTCATGGGGAGATACATACAAATTTTCAGTTTTGTATTCTGCGTTTTGCGGTTTTATGGACGTTTTGCGTTTTTTACCACTTCTTTCTTGTCCCGTTGATGGATCTTCACCAAATTTGGCATAAAGGTTTGTTGGGTCCATGCGGAGATACATGCAAACTAGCGATTTCACATTTTGTGTTTTGGACGGGTACTACGGCTAGTTAAGCAATAATATTTATCAGTGTGAATCTAACAATATCTGACTTTCGAAATCCATATTCAAAATTTGGTGATTTTAACAACCTCAATATTATGACCTAAATGGTATCCCATTTCCTGTAGTTAATGGCTTATGTGCTAGATCTGTCGACTCACCACAGTGTTTCTGGAGTTACTATGTAGGAAAACAGCAAGAAGGTAATGAAAGTATTATTTATAAGACGGTGTGAAAATAATTACTGCGAACCTTCTATTATTGTTTTACTAAGATTCGAACTATGCCTAGTACCGTTGACCTATTTCTATATTAAGCTAATGTTGTTCTAATATCCAGTCACTTTTCTATGATGTCTGTGGACTTACAACGCTAAAAAGCGGGTTTAGATACCAATGGTTGACACAGCAAAGATAGCCCACTGTGTAGTTTTCTGCTTAATTACAAACAAATAAACACTTTTTTATGTTTGTTTGTTTTTGAATTTCGCGCAAAGC